TCCCGTATCTGCCTCCGCCAAAACAGCATCGAGCAAATCGACGGCCTGTCCGCCCTAGCCGAGACCCTCGAAGACCTTGACCTCTACGACAACCTCATTTCGCACATTCGCGGCCTCGACGAGTTAACAAACCTTACAAGCCTTGATCTGAGCTTCAACAAAGTCAAGCATATCAAGCACATCAACCACTTGACAAAACTCAAGGAATTATACCTTGTCGCCAACAAGATTGGCAAAATCGAGGGGTTGGAGGGGCTGGATAAGTTGACATCTCTTGAGCTTGGATCAAACCGCATTCGCGAAATCAAGAACCTCGACTCTCTCAAGGCGATCGAAGAGCTTTGGTTGGCCAAGAACAAGATCACTGAGCTCACTGGTCTAGGTGGTATGCCTAATCTTCGACTACTAAGCATTCAATCCAACCGTATAAGCGATTTGTCACCCCTCAAGGACGTCCCTACTCTTGAGGAGCTATATATCTCACACAACATGCTGGAATCTCTAGAGGGCCTGGAGCACAACCCCAAGTTACATGTGCTGGATATCTCAAACAACAAGATCACCAGCATCAAGGGTCTCGAGTCACTTGCTGAGCTGGAAGAGCTGTGGGCCAGCTATAATCTCATCGGCGATTATAAGGAGGTAGCCAAATATCTTGCCGATAAGAAGGAGTTGACGACGGTATATTTCGAAGGAAACCCGCTGCAACTGCAGGAACCTGTGGCATACAGGAACAGGATCCGAATGACCTTGCCGCAGGTCAAACAGATTGACGCCAGTAAGTTGACACTGAATTACACAAATATAGGGACTATCGCTGACCATTTTTGCAGCATTTGTTCGAACTTGAATTCGACTTTGGAAGGCTTCGTCACAGAAAGCATGGCGTTAAGGCAATGGAGTTTGGCTTTTTCGATATTCAGGGTGGCATCAATGGTGCATTCAATAAATGGTTCATTCAAAGACAGATAAAACTTTATATGAGTTACAGTTTAGACGAGGTTGTAGAGCAAACACAGAGTTATCGAGGCTACGTGCAGTCACGTACTGCTCGCTCAGTCTTGGTCATATCATGAAGCAATCATTTCCCAAAACGATAGTCATATCACGCAAAAGTGACCAGATTTGTTGAAGGGTTAACTGTCTTTTGTATTCTATGAGAGCGTCTCATCAAGTCCTTGCGGTTTTACAAAATGCAGCCCATCGTCATGTAACGCCAAAATATCCCAAACAATCATGTTCCCAATGCTTCTTTCTTTTACTTATCATATCATATCATTGCCATTACTTAAGCGAAGATCCAGAGCTTCTCAGTAGGGAAGTACTAGAAATTGTTAGTACTGCTTTAGCAACCCATTAGGAGTGAAAACTTACGTTGGTGGGCTTGTTGAACTTGAGGTTAAGGTTCATTCTAGCAATGCGTTTCATGTCCTCCTCATCAATGTCCCAACCGACACAGCCGAAGTTCTGGGCCATGTATTCGGGTGTGGTGCTCTTGGGAATGACAGCAAGACCTTGCTGTGTGGCCCATCGGAGGAGGACCTGAGCAGCGGTCTTGTTGTACTTGCTGGCGAGGCCAGTGAAGACCTCGTGCTGCATGAGAGGAGAAGCAGACTTGGCAATGTCCATGTCGAGCTCCATGAAGCCAGCAGGGCCGAAAGAAGAGTAGGCAGTCAGAGCAATGCCCTCGGCCTTGGCGAGGCGGACAAGCTCGGTCTGCTGGTGGTAGGGGTGAAGCTCGACCTGGAGGGTGGCAGGTCGGATCTTGGCGTACTTGAGGAGATCGTAGATGGACTGAGCCTGGAAGTTGGAGATACCAATGGACTTGGCAAGACCCTTCTCAACGAGGCCCTCCATGGCGCCCCAGGTCTCCTCGTTGGTGGCCTTGCTCCATCGGATCTCAGTGCCGGCGTCGTCATAGTGCCAGCCAGGGGGGTAGCGGACCTTGGGATCGACGTACTCGAGGGCGACGGGGAAGTGGATGAGGAAGAGGTCAAAGTAGTCGATTTGCCAGTCGGCGAGCTGTTTGCGGGTGATGGGCTCGACGTTCTCCTTGTCATGGTAGGTTTGCCAGAGCTTGGAGACGATGAAGAGGTCCTCACGCTTCACGATACCATCCTTGATAGCGCGGGCGACACCCTCACCGCAGGCCTTCTCATTTCCGTAATCTGTTGTGAAAAATTCATTAGAATTTCTGTAAACTTCTGGTTTGTCCGGGTAAAAAGAGTAGTCATGAAGCTATCATGGTGTGGGGTGAAGCTCCAAGTGTAGTGGAGGGGTAGTTTTACAGGGGTAATATGGCTGTTTTCTCGGTACAATTGACAATTGGCAGGGAAAATGAGGGGCACAAGGGCAAGGATTATCTGGGGAGGGGCAAAGGAATGGGATCATGGCTGGCCGTGTAATTGAATTTGGCGACGGGTAATTGTAAAGGCAATTGGGGGTTTGGAAACAAACATACCGCAAGCACCGTCGAGAAGACGGTATCCAGCCTTGATGGCCTCGTAGACAACATCAGCACAGTTGTCGTCAACCTTCCAGAGGCCGAAGCCAATCTGGGGCATGTCGAAGCCGCTGTTGAGCTTGATGGTGGGAACGTTGACCATTGTGACGGTTGTTGATGTGTAAGAGATGCGGTGGTTGGTTGATAGATTAGAGAGAGGAGGAGAGGAGAAGCAAGAATGGGATAGACAGCTCACAGGAGGGGACAGTAGTATTTATATTTATGCTAAGAAGAACACATGTTGCTATGTGTACATACATATTATCCTCAGAGGTAGCTACAGCACCTACCTACTAAGGTAGGCAGATATCGTATGCCCTCATGGGTGCGGCATGACAAGCAAGGGGCAAGGTCCATACTACGTAGTATGGTATGGCATGGCATTTGATAACGCTACGCCTTGGAGAAGAAAAAGGCCATGAATAGCGTTGGCATGAGTGCAACAATGCTTCTGGTGCAGGCAGTATCATGGGATTGCTTCAGGGTGTGTAACCCCCAAAGGTACAGTAGAGGAGAGAGGTGTGTGCCCGAGGGCGGCAAATGTCTGGGTATCTTGGAGCCCATCATGCGAGCTAGAAACAGCGAATCGCCGTATTAACCAGCCCAGTTCAGCCCCAGTTTCTTCTCTGCCTTCCAGATTATGCCGCCGTTGGTGGGGCATAGGATTGGAATTCACCCGGCGGATGAGATGGCGGGCATAAAATTATTGGATGGGTAGTCATTGGGTGAGGATGAATGCCATATGAATGTAAGTATGTAAGGTTCATAATTGCAAGGGAAGTAACAATGTTCTGGATAAACTAAATCTCATCGCTTATCGCTGTGAAGCTGAATACTCTGTTATAAGTCATGGTTCATGATATTACCATCATTGCCGATTATCACAGGCCTAGAGTGCGTATGTACAGATGTTACACATGACGAGTGGATATTTCGGTGAAACAAATCTGATCATGGAAACTTTCAGCCAAAAGAAGAAGAAGAAAACAAAAAAGGGCAAAAGTAATGGCCGAAGCTCCCCGAAGTAATCACTCTAGTCACTCTAGTCGCTCACTCAATGTACATATGTCAGTCGTTGGAGAACCAATCCAGTCCAGTCTATTCCAGGGTATGGGTGCTTCACCCCGCAAATCTAGGACTAGACCAGCCACACCAAGACCCCAGTTGAGAGAGACAGATGAAGATTGAAGAGGAATAATAAGCAGGATCTATACCACAAAGGCAATTGTCTTCATGCGCCGCAGATTCTGTCTGTTTCATGACACATGTGCCCCTGGTCTCAGAGTTGGCCTTTGTGAGCAGCCTATTTGTGCGTTTATTCTGTAAAGTACATATTTTCAAGTGCCGCATCTAAGCCGGGTGTGTCTCGAGGCATCTTTCTTTTCTGTGATTGATGCGCAAAAGCTGTGGCTTTAACAAAAAGCAACTCCTTTCCATCTTCAAGGTTAAACATAGGCGTAGGGTCCCCTAACTCCGGGCGTTTCGCCGCATGACCTCTCCTTCTACTACTCTATTCTGCCAAAATCTCTGACGTGGTCCATATCTCTCGGCTCGGCGTAATTCCAAGGTTCCCTAGTCTACGACATTGTCCATGTCGTGTGGATTTATCGCGGGTGAATAGGCCTTTAACTTGGGGCCATATCATGATAACTAAGGTAACTAAACAAGACTGAAGAGCCTCTATGAGGGTCTTGTCCTTCCGGAAGAAACCATCAATTTAGCCTAAAGGCAAGTGCCCCACGGATGAGCTGCCCGTCGTCCCACAGTAGCGGGTAATCTCCAGGCACTCACATAGAATCTCCACTCTAAATGTTGCTCTGTAAACACCCCTACCTACAACACACCCATCATCCATGACAACCTAGGTAGTGAGCAAGTCCCATGATGGGGGAAAAAAGAATGGATGCCCAGAGCCGAGCAAGGGCATGAGATGGCCAAGATCAACTTCAATGGTTCCAATTTTCCCAAAATATTGTCAGAGGCTGACGTTGAATAACCTCAACTGCTACACGACAAAGACTACTCCCGTCCTAACTAGGTACCTAGCTTGCACCAACAATAGACTCGACACTTTAATCATGACAAGCACCTCTCCAGCTTCAAAGAACCCTTTCAAGCTTGCGCACAGTCGCATCCGTGATCATGGCCCCGGCCGACCAAAATAGGACTCTCTTGATATGCAGGGCGTTACCAGGCTGATAGACAAAGAAACCGCAAAACCAACAACAATCACGGAACCACCGTACCTCTTTGTCCAAAGACACCCAATTTCGGATTCGAGCTTCTCACAATGCCGCCCTCGATGCTCCTTTCAGATCCCGGGGCTATCAATTGTCAATGTCTAACACAAAACACTCCGGTCTTGAGGGACCCAAACAGCAGCTCCTTCGGTCTTTGTTCAGTCGAACAAGTTTATTACCATCAAACCCTCCAGCCTTTCCCCGTGTGATACTCACTTTCGATAACATCAAACTCGGTTCGGCACAGTTTATCCAACATGAATCCCCACCACATTCGTATTCAAAAAAGGTCGCTGGGCTTTAACCAAGACGATCAAAAGGATGGAGACTGTTTGATAATCGACCGAAACTTTCATACTGTTCAATCAGCTCTGATTCGTGGCGATGAAGAGGTCGTGCTTTATAACTGGCCTTCGTTTCCAGGGGGCATGTGGCAACACGTCTCCCCCTGGGACCAATATCCCATAGGCCAAGAGAAAATCGTTTATTTCACAAATTTTCCAAAGCGCGACGCGCCCTGCGACCCCCATGGCCTCCTTTCACAAGATTCCCGAAAAGCGATAGAAAATCAACGTTGGGAAGGCATGAAGTTCAAGTTTAAAAAGGTGCTTGCCCAGGGTGGTCACGGGTACGCCACACTATGGGACGTCGTTTTTGAAGATCAGTCTGTCAGGAGGGTCGTGATCAAGAGAGCTATAGACCCTTTTAGTAAGGCCTTCGATCCTCAAGAAGAATCCCGGTTTCACTTGCGGTATGACGGTGCCCAACACACGACACAGGTTATCGACTTACATCGCGAGGTACTGGATTTACGCACTCGTATGCAGAAGTATAGCAAGTCTAAGGACGGTACTAAGAGAATTGGAAAACAGTGGAGGGCCGAAGGGGAGAAGTGTGTTGTCTTTGAGTATATGAAATACGGCGACATGGTCAACATCATGCAAATGGTCAGTACGAGAAACGTTCAAATCCCAGCCCAAGTTCTCTGGGGAATTTGGGAATGCCGTAAGTCATCTTGCCCCGAAGCATTGTATCTTGCCTTCTCGACTGACTTGATTGAATAGTTGTGCTTGGTCTCGCAACTATTGCTTATACGCCGTCCGAAAGCTCTGGCAACTCCAGTTTCGAAACGTGGTGGAAAGACGTAGTGTCTGATAGGGAGGAAGCACTAGCCTTCCTCGACCGTGTCGAAAGAGAGTGGAAAATTGAGCACGATGTTCATCTCGATCTAGAAGTTTTGAATGGTAAACATTTATAACCATCTATGGAAGCTTTCTGCTAATCCCGTGTGTCTAGTTCTCGCGGGTCATGATCCAGCTACGCATTCTAATCAACCTGTTTTCAAGGTGAGCCTGCACAGCGACGGCATTTGCTCTGCGTACATGTGTTGACTTGATCTATTTAGCTCCATGATCTCGGTGCCTGGAGCTATTGTATGAACCAGAATTGGGAGAGTTACAACGAAAGAGAGTTTTGGTCCATGAGAGAACCTGTTAAGCCTCATGCCGCGACACCAGTATGTCATGGCACGTCCAACATTATTGTAAAATTTTTCACTAATAAACACTAGGAGCAATTCACTAAAGAATGGGATTATCTTTATATCAGCTTACCGACGCCTCTCGTGAGAGAAGTCTTTACAGGTGAAGACTTGGAAAAAAAGGGGGGGAACAAGATAGGCGGCCGTTTTGGGATATGGACCAACATATTTCTTATTGCCAAAGTTGTGAGTTTTCCTGATCAGAACCGACTCGAAAAAGGCTCTAACGTTGTTGAAAGATGGAGTCCATCATGACGAGAGAGTTCAGCAGGTTTCCTTATCAAGCTGTTCCCCATTATCGAACACACAAGCCAACATATGGAGGGAAACTTCAGACCCTAGAGTTCCAGCATATCGACCTCGAATTGCGAGATATCGTGATGAGGTGTCTGCACGAGAAGCCTATAGACAGGCCCCATATTACCCATCTTTTGAGGAATTTGTTGGACCGAAAACAGCTAGGCTTCAATAATGAAGGCCCAGAGGCTGTTGAAAGGTGGTGGAAAGCCCTCCTTGAGCCTCAAGCGCCAAAGCCTATCCCTGCCCAAGCACCACCGCCTGCGAATCCTGTCAAGCAGGCCATGGTAGCCTCTGCTGTGAAAGGAGGTTTAGTAATCGCGTCTCACATGGCGCAGGCAGCTGGAAACCAAGGGGCGCCGAATCAGCCTCAAGCTCATCCTCATATTCCTCCTCACATACAACAAATTCTTGACCGACATAGGGCTCAAGCTAATATAAAGAAGCCTCCAGCACAGCCTCCAGTTCAGCCTCCAGTTCAGCCTCCAGTTCAGCTTCAACCTCCTCCTCAGGTCCAACCTCCTCCTCAGGTTCAGCCTCAAGGTCCTCCTAAGGTTCTCCCTCACTTACGACACGTTCCTCCTCACTTGCGACATCTTCCTTTTGACCAACGAAGGGCTCAGTCCGGTGTAAAGGAGTCTCCAGCACAAACTCCAGTTCAGCTTCAACCTCCTCCTCAAGCACCTCCTAGAGGCCAGCATCAACGTCAAGGCCAGCACCAAGGCCAGCACCAAGGCCAACGTCAAGGCCAACGTCAGGGTCAACGTCAGGGTCAACGTCAAGGTCAGCGTCAACGTCAGCGTCAACGTCAACGTCAGTATCAAGGCCGGCGCCAAGGTCAACTTGAAGGTCAACTTCAAGGTCAACAACGTCTGAATCAACGTCAAGGTCAACGCCAAGGCCAGCATCGAGTTCAGCCCCGAGCTCAACAGCCCCCTGCCCGGCCTCAAGTCCAACTTCAAGCCCACTGGCCCGGACCCCAGCCTCAAGTTCAACCCCAAGCCCGGCCTCAAGTTCGGCCTGGAGCCCAGCCTTATGTTCTTCCTTACCTACGAAGGGGCCAACAGAATGTAACTACTTCTGCACTAGGTGAGAATTTGGGCAACATACATCTCAAGCGCGCAACCCAAATATCTACTACAAAGGTTACACCTGACATTTTTCCAAAGTCTGTCAAGTCAGGCAGGGTCATCAAGAAGGCTCAAAAAGCGAAAAAGGCCGGTCGTCAAGTGCCGCCTCACAAGCATGATGCTATTGCAGAGTATGTTGAGAAAATGTTGCCGGATATGCCTGTGGCTATTCGCAACCTTTTGACTCGCTCGCAACATCTCGAATCGCAACTCGAGAACGATGGCTTTCACGTGTATTCTTTCGTGAACTAAAGTCATACGTAGGGAAATGGTTTGCATATTATAGGTGCTCTTGTTTTCGTTCTGTCTATCGCGATGAACATTCTGGCTATTGTGTCAAGTGATGCAAAATTGCACTATTTCTGGTGTTTCTGGTCTATTCTTTAAACCTCTTTTCTGGCAATACTTTCATATAGAATTGTTTCTCGCATGTTATTGATTTTTTCGTTTCCAATACAATTGATTATAGAACTTGTTGGTCCTGGGTATCACTAACTCCTAACCTACCTACTATATCCATCCAGCTTGATTTCCTCGTAACCAAGTCCCAACATTAACTCGCCCAGCTTAAATACAGATAGAGACAATCTAGTTGATATCGTAGTTTGCATAGCGGCACTCGCACGCTCCGGACTCCGACTTGACATCGCCCACTTGGCCACCCTCGCTATCCACACAATTTGGTGATCCTCCATTGAATGTCTTGCGTTGGACAACATCAACATCACCTGGCCAAGCGGCAAATTTTGTATTTCCAGTCGCCTCGTCACCTCTTTTCCGCTGCGTCCACAGTGTAGCTTCGAAAAGCGTATCGTCAAACGTACACTTTGCTGCACGATTGCTCGGCGAGAGCTGATCATCTGGGACGACCGTCTTGTTCATTGAGAAAGAAAACTGAAGACGCTCTAAGGATGTATCCCTGTCAAGAACATCAACGGTCAAGTTGGTGAACGATGGTGCGAAGGGGTTTTCTGTGGATGAGATATTGTACGAGGAGCCGTTGTTGGATGAGATTATCCAGAAGAAGGTTGCTGATGAGCCCTTTTCATAGGGATAGCAGCGCCATGTCGAAGGATTGGAAGTACAGTTTGTGGTTGTATTTTGAAGATCTGCTTTAAAAGCAAAAGAACCAGCCGGGAATGCAGCTGGAGGTTCCGAAGTTGAAGTCTCTTGCGGTGGTGCTCTGTCTCTGAGGATGGTGTTAGTTAGAGTCAATGTCTCGGATATTCGACTTACTCGTCCTTCAACCCTATCGAGAGTCCAATGCCCAAAGCAACAGCAACAATAGCAACGCCCACGAGCGCAATAATCAACAAACAACATCCTCTGCGCTTGTCAAGTCCACAAACTTTCCTCTCTCTATAGCTCCCAGCTTCAGAGTACTCATGCTCTAGGAATCTACCCTTGGCATCGCTGTAGCTGTGGCTGTGGTTATAGCTGTAGCTAGGCGGTGGGGTATAGTGCGCCACGGGCGGAGCATAGTATACTCGTCCTCTGGGTATATACGCCGGTGGAATCGCATTGCTGCGAATAGCGCGCCGGGGTGATTTCCTCGGGATGCGGAGAGGAGGTGTTGGAGGACTGTGAGATGAAGGGGTAGAGGCGATTTCGTTCTCGTCGATTGAGGGGAGGTAGGGACGAGAGATTGAGCTGAAGGAGCCCGTTCTGTAGTTGTGATTTCTGTTCATTTTTGAGATTCTTGAGGTTATGGTTAATGGTGGCTGGCGATAGATAGTAGAGTGTATAATTGAGTTGAGCGATGACGATGATCAGCGTCTATCGTCTCAACTGATTGAAGACGAGAATAGAGAAGATGTAACAAAGAGGGTAAAAACGACTCAATTGCCAGGCTGTGAGTGAGTATATGAATGTGTGTGTTTTGCTGATCTGCATGCAATAGATGCAAGCCTCCATAAGTTCAGTTCAGTTCAGCTCAGTTCAGCTCAGCTCAGCTCAGCTCTGCCTACTTCAAGCAACGCAATCAGGCTCTCGATGATATATTCTCGACGACTTCATATATACATACACAGATACAAAAAGAAGAAAGAGGCTCAGTTATCAGTTGACGACTCTATCCCTCCTCTAGACTATCGATTGCCAGCTCCTCCGCCTGCCCTGATTTTTTCGCCTCCCCCTCCGACTACTACGACGGTTGAGAAATTCAATTAACAATTCAATGACCCGCCCACGCGGGATCGTCCTCATCCGAGGGAGGCGTTGCTGCTGCTGCTACTGCTAGCGCCGTTGATAGTTCGTGCTGTCTCTGGTGCCTCGTGATTGGAGTCGACCCTGGAAAAGTGGCGTTGGAGCTGTAAAAGCTTGGCTTGGGAAATATTGGTTTTGGTGACGAGTTTGGAGGGATCTGCACTTATCTTTATTTGATCTAGAATTCCATCTCACTCCTGCACGTTGAGGGTCGCCGATAAAAATGGTCCTATATATCCAAATGTGGTCTATCTTTGACGTTTAGCAACCCTTGAATCTATCCCTTGCCCTATCTCTCCAACGTCACATCAGTCAACTTCTGCTCTTCTGTAATGATAGATCCTCTATGTAGATCCTGGAAATAATAGATACACAAGTCCCGCTGCCTACTCCATGCCATACAAAATATCCCATCATCTAAACTCCTCGGGGTATTGCTCTCTGCTTACGTCAATCAATCAACCCTTCGATCCACCCACCCTTGTTCGCTTACTCCTGACCCTCAGCTGCCTTCTCTGCATACGTCGGAGCCTCGAGCACCTCGCCCTGGTCTGTCCAGACTGCTGCGAGCTCAGTCTCGATCTCATCCCGGCGCTTCTTCCACTCGTCGACTTGCTCCAGCCTCTCACGGAGGTCTTGCAACTCCTTCTCGACCTGCATCTTCTCCCGCTCGGTGCCTATTCGCTCAAATTCCCACTCGTCTCCCCGCTCACCCATACCAAGGACCAGGTTGTATGTGTGGTACTTCTTGAGGGATGCACGTGTTGAGATGGTGATGAGTGCTATGGCATGTTAGTCTGATGTACCCTTCAGAATTCGAAACAAACTGTGACTTACTGATGCCTCTCTCCTTGCATGTTTCATACAGCAGACCTTCTACGTCACTCGAAACAGCACTGGTGCCCTCATCCACGATCGCATATTGGGGCTCGTGGTAGAGCACACGGGCAAAACCCATGCGCTGCTTCTCACCTCCACTGAGAACATCCTTCCATTCCTTTCGCGTATCCCATCCACCCTCTCTGTCAGGGAGATATCCGAGTCGCGCAGCGTCCAAGACGCTCTTGAGGTCAGCCTCAGACTTACGCTTCTCCTTCATATCCACATGGCCATCCGGATAGATTACTTGGTCACGGAGTGTTCCAGGGCTCAGATAAGGTCGCTGGGGGAGGAACATAATGCCGTCCTGGCCAATATCCTTGGGGCGACTGACTAGGCCTCGGTAGACTGGCCATAAGCCGGCGAGTATTCTTGCAATAGCGGTTTTACCCACACCATTTGGTCCAGAAATCTGGTGTTTGTTAAAAATTATACAGGTTATGTCATCGGGAAACTTACTAATAGATGTTCACCTCTTCGCACGACAATGGATAATGACTCGAGCAACTCCTCACCTCCTTGAGGCCATAGACCAGGAGCCACAACCGGAACATGCTCGAATCTAACACCGTCAAATCCCTTCTGAATTGTTCCGGAAACATCAGACAATGAGTATAGTTCGCTTTGGCCAGCCCGAACGTGATAAGCATCGGCATGTACCCGGTGCAAGGTCGAGATGAGTGTGTACACACGGCTAGTATACCCTGCCAGTTCTGAAAGGTCCTTTATCGAGTACATCATACGACCACCTGCATCGGCAAGTGAAAGCATGAGCCTCTTGTTGGTGATAAAATCCTTCATACGGTTTCGCTCTCGGCCTCCTCGTACACCATTCTCAACCATCTCAGCTCGGCCGCCAACGCCACCCCATTGTGGCAGGAAGACCGGAAGGGATGCTAGCAAATATCCGTAAGCACTCCAACTATATTTGAGGATGAAGTCTTCCAAAATGTTGTAGCGAATCTTTAACATGTAAATACCCTCCATCCAAGTCTTTAACGACTTAAACTCGCGGTTCAGGAATGTCTTCTCGGTATCTGCACCACCATAAAATGCAACCTCTTCGGCATTAGCAATCAAGCGGGCATGTAAACTTCGGAAGTCACCCTCTTTTCGGCCTTCAACTGCCTTTAGCTTGCCAAATGGAGGTGAAAGTCTTCGGAGGATGCTGGCAGTCAAGAAGTAGTTGCTCATGAGGCCAGTAAGAGCAAGGGGTCCCAGAGATCGATAAAGCTGATAGTTGAAGACGCACAGGTCGACGAAAGGTTTGCCGAGCGATGAGTAGATATTGGCTGCTGCAGCACAGAAGAGGGTCAGATCCTGGGTGATGAATTGATCGGCACTTTGGCCAACACCACCGTCGAGGTTAGACAGCTTGTAGTAGTTGAGGTTATCGTTCAGGTAAAGGTCATGGATGTAGCGTGTAAGTCGCGTGCGGAAGGCAATGGAAACCTTCGACTCCAGGAACTTAATCATGGCATTGGTATATGAGGCAAACCCTCCGAGGCCGCACCACTGGAACATGTGAATACAATGGCTTCAATTTTAGATCGAACACTCACCTTGAGAATACCCCAGAGGAACGCCTTTCCATTTCCAGCCACCAAATCGCGCACAATCTCACCATCCAGGCGAGCCACAACAAGTGAGAGATATGTCCTTAGCATCAAGAACACGCCATGACTAACAAGTAGTCCGGCTTCCTTGCTAGACCACCTGGGGATCATAATGCTCATGAGACTGAGGAATTGGTGCAAGAAGGCAATGTTGAGGCCAGGTTTCGTTTGCGCTGTCGGTACAGTTCCCTCCCGGAGTCCAGATACCCGAGGAGGGTTTAAGAACAAACGGCGATGAGCGTCGAAAGTGAGTGGCTTGGTCGTGTTGATCACCACCTTTGATGTGCCATCTTTGTATGGAACGTAAATAGTACGCGAACCGTCCTTGTTGTGAAGCCAGGAGTTTGTGCGCACAAGTTTTCGACCCTGTTCACGCTCATGCCGTCGATTCTTCCACCATCGACGTCCGCCGACTCCTCCGAGGATAATTGATATAGCGAGGGCCAATGTCGCGAGTAGACGAGTCGTGCGAGTCGTTCCGCGCAACCTCGTCTTTATCTTGCCAGTCCATTTGTCGAGGAAGGCGGCTAGCTGCTCCTCGGCAGCAGTATGCCGCAGTGTTGATTGCGCAGCCATAAGAAACAGATCCGATGGTGAAGTGAGATGCAATGTTTGGTGATGACGTTGAGTACCGTCTATTGTCGTTTGGAGAAGCTTCCCCACAACCCTCGAGTCTCTATGAGGCTCAAATGCGCTTCCTTTACGTGTCCATTAGTGTGTCGCGTGGAATGTGAAGTTTTCGCTGGTAGTGATTCAAAAAAACGTGGTTGTATGAATATCTTTGCTAAGTCCAAATATGGTTGAGGCTGACTTGTATCAAAAGTTGTGATGAGCATGTGAAATACGGGTATCCGAGGCAAGTGGCACATGGGACGGTCTGCGCCTGCTGCGACCTCACCTAAGCTGCAGCCGACGGATGCGGCGAGCGGGAATGACGACACAGTATCCAATCACATGATGGTCAAAAAGCTGGGGAAATATGGGGGAGCATCTGTTAATGAAGCAGCTTCTTGATTGGTTCGATCTGCTATAACTGGGTCAGTGACTACCCTACAGCTCACCGGGTAAATCAATTGACGATTCACATGTGCTCTACGAATGAGTGCAAGATATTGACTAGGTAGGTACTTATTGACTGAGGCCTACTGTGATATTTTCTGTTGCTTTTCGGTATCGATTTAGGGCATCGGGGGTTGTCCAACCTTTGGTCAACCGTTCTTCATGATTTAGACGCTAGAAACCCCTAAAATTTACAGGTTTCCAGCAAGTCCATGTTTCATGAACATGGATTTCACAGGGAAAAGACAGAAACTAATACGAAGAAAGACACAACCACATAGCCTCAATGCTTCTTAACGAGTAACTGACACTACCCGCATTGGTTGTGGTGCCTGCAAGACCGAGCCCATGTGATCCAGCGTGTTGAATTGCACGAGATAGGAGGACCACTCAAGTCTTAGCTTAATCGTGTGCAAGGAGTGTTGGCTATTCAACCCATTCCACGACCCCACGAAGAGTGTGGGTATTCAGTGAAAGCACTAGAAACCTCACAGTTACACAGTCAGACAGTAACATACCTAGCCCCAAACTACGTCCGTATAGCTCAGTGGGTTGCAATGGCCTCGGAGGGCAAGAAAACTCAGACCTGAATATAGGGCATCAAGAATAAATTCAGCAAAAGATATCCTAAACTTATCCTAAATTACCTAACTCTTTTTGTCATTTAGGATCAAGAGCCCGAGTTTTCTTTCCTCCCCTAGAGGAACTGTGCCCTGGTCTCTCCTTCGCCTAGTTATGGGGTTGATGGAGTTTACATGATCAATGCGATATGGTATCGGGACGACTGAGAGAACGACTAACAAGCCTCACTTGATGATAAGTGGATGGCTTACGATTCAAGAAAACGTGCTCGCCAAAGCCACAGCAAACAAGATTCATGGAAAGGCGATTGACAGGAGTTAACGAGAACGCAAGGGTCCATCCAGCAC